GTCCCCAGGTAGTCTGGTGGAATAAGGATGGGGGCCCCACCCCATCCAGGGATCCCTTCCTCCCCCTGTACCTCCCTGGGTACTCTTTGCTGAGCGTCTCCTGGCCACAGCCACCAAGCGGCAGGCAGACCCTGGGGCCTCCTTCTCTTCCACCAGAAGGGCCCCAAGAGGATCATAGGCTCCAGCCGGCTGGACGCTCACTTCCCTTCACAGAGGCCTCTCTGTCCCCACTGCTGCTAGCTCCTCCTCTGGCCCTGGGGACAGTGTGGCCTGGCCTGCCTCTGCAGGACAAAGCTACTTTCTTCCGTATCTCAGATCCCCATCTGGTAACCAGCTCCCCTTGGCTCTGGTGGTCCTCTGCTCCAGCTCCTTGCACTGTCTGGACACCTCCAAATGCTCTCCTGGCTCTCATAGCCCTGTCCTGAGCCCCCATCTTCCTACTCCAGGACTCTGCTGTGTTTCCAACTGTGATCTTATCACCCTGTTCCCATCTGTTTAGTCCAGATGGAGGGTGAGAGCAGGCCTTAGCCTGGTTCTAGCTCTGGGAACCCATCTCAGGGCAGAGCTGTAGGGACCCTCTAGAGACAGAGAGTGCTCAGGAAGCTGTCTGCCTGGACCCCCCCCCCCACCTTTGCCTATCTTCCAGGGCCTGCTTTGGGGCCCCTCACCCCACCATCTTCCCATACTTCCTAATGCCATGGGCACCTGGCCAATGACACAGGGGCCTGCCTTGGTTCTCTGGCTGGCCTTTCTCAAGCCCCTCTTGGGCAGCCTCAGCTGACCTTCCTACCTGGGCCTCTGTGTCCTTACACCTGAGACACTGGTGCCTGTGTCTCAGGCTATAGGGGCAGGTTCCTTGGTGAGGGAGTGTCCTAGTCCACTTCTCCTCTGGAGTCATTTGCAGAAAGTCAGGTCTCATTCATAGTGAGGAATTTTGTTAGAGGCCTGTGGCCTTCTTGTCCTAAGCTCTGATCACTTCTTCCTTCTACTGGTTTCCAGCCTGGCCTGACACTTTCTCACCCTTATAGGTTTCAGTGTTGCTTGTTGTTGCCCCTGAAGGGCTTCTGGAACTTGGACCAGGCCTCTGGATCCATGAAGCCTCTGTACTTTTTGTGGCACCCATCCCAGTTGCAATTACATTCTTACTGTGCCAGTCTGGAGCTCCTGGGCGTCGGTACCATGTACCTCCAGCACTGGGCATGAAGTGAAGAGCTGGCAATGCTGCCTAGCTGCTGAGCCTTTCCAGGGTTCTCTGTTGGCCTCTGGACCTTAGGGCTCTGCTCACCTGAACCCCTTGGACAAGGACCTAAGGTAAAGAGATAGTGATTCTTTGGCCACAAGCCTGCCTTTGGCAGGTGGCCAGGAGGTTGTTGCCCACCTCACCCTCACTGGCACTACCAGCTGCTCAGGTAGGTTCAAGTGGCTGCACAAAGGCCAATTTTTATTTTTTATTTGCTTATCAATTTTTTGAGACAGAGTCTTACCTTCTCACCCTCGGTAGAGTGCCATGGCATCACAGCTCATAGCAACCTCAAACTCTTGGGCTCAAGTGATCCTCTTGCCTCAGCCTTCCAAGAAACTGGGACTACAAGTGTCTGCCACAACAGCTGGCTATTTTTT